TATTTCATAATTTAAGAGTAAAAGCACTAGCCAAAAAAATCAGGCTGTGAACACCAAATTATGTGGTGGATATACATACATGTTCACTTATATTTAGAGGGAAGTTCTATATAGTATCTCAGATTATTTGGAAACAAAAAGAAAGAAGACACATAAAAAGCATATTTTCAGGCTTCCTCAGAAGAAATACTTTTTGTAATTCCCAGAGAAAATAATGAATTACAAATCTTGTATCAAGCTATTGCTAATGTTATTACTGTTATTAAAGTTTTCCAAATTCAGTGATTTGCAATTCCTGCAAAAGTGAAAAGGACCTAAGATTAAACAATAGAACTCATCCTTGCCAGCATTCTGAAACTTATCCAGAAGCAATTTACAGAACAAAATGCAGATAGCAGGTATTAGAAGTTCTGATATTCTGGAGAAATAATTAGGACTGTCCAAAATGAAGTATGTACTCTCTTTGTAATACTGACATTAAAGATATTTTATAGTGTCAACAAAGAAGTACATTTTAAGCACCTACTATCAGAAATTACATGCTGAGTGTACTAAACATGAAATGTTTACTGGCTAAAATGAATGGTTCATAAAAACACCTAATGTCTCAAGTGGGGATGTTTCTCAAGAGGTTGTCCCATGACAATTTGCAAAATTATCAGATACTACTAATAATTTATTGATAAATAATTACATAAACACTGTAAGATTTTTTCATTACTTATTCTGTGGCTTAGGAGAAGCTTTTTTCCCTTTAAATTTACCTCATGAGATTGTGATTGACCTCAAGTTTTCTTTACAATTATTGTTTCAATTAAGTATGGCACAGAAAGACAGCTCTCTTGAAACATCTTAAGTTTTCCTAATATTCATGCAAGACAATGAAGCAACTTTGGATCCAGAATTTCATAAATCATCAGTCTTAGCATAATTTGATTTGGGATGAAAACATATCTCTGTGCCTAATGCTTAACTGAGAAGGACATTAAAGCAAAAGACAGGTGATGAAAGTTTTCTTTCCTTCTATATCTTCATAACTTCGTTGAACATGATAGATTGGCTAGCTTATTGATTTAGAAATGATCAGCAATATTACTTCCCCTAAAGGAATATTAAGATGATTCATAACAGATTTGAAGTTTGATCTCTAGCTTCCTGCATAAACATGAATAAATTTATAAGTTTAGCTGTCTTCAAATTTCTACCTTAGAAATATCCACTTACGCACAACGGGTGTCTCTGTAGTTCTCCAAGACTTTAGTGACTGTCTTTATATATACACATTTATACTGCTAAAGGAACAATAAAGTACAATAGCTGAGGGCTTACATCCTTGTTAAAATATCACCCTTGCCTTTTACTAGCTGTGGATTTTCAGTTACTTAAATAGTCTGTGTCTGTATTTCTACCTTTACGAAACATGTATCACCAATCTCTTAAGGTTGGGGTGAGAATTAAATATGTTAGTATATGCAAATATTTAGAACAGTTCCTGGCAAATGATAAGCACTCAATAAATATTAGCAGGTGGTAATATTGTTTCATTTCTCAAGTTGAATTTTTATTTATATCGTGGAATCAGTGGTTTCCTTCAAGGGTAAAATAAGTATGTGCTTTAGTAACTGGTCATTTCTGGTCCAGTTTCTTCCCATTAAAATTTATTTCCCAAACTTCAGTCATTCACTTACTTTGTTTGTGGGGTTTTCTCACATTTCATAGACTTAAATAACTTTATGTTAATGGAAAATGTATTCAGTTCACTTATAAATGGCTCTGATGTGATGATTTTTTCTGCTAAATCTTAGGATTATGTAAATAATAATTAAAATTAAAACAGTTGTCAACTAAAATCATCTCTTGTGCCCTGGCAATATGTACACAACACATTTAGAATCATCTCCTTAGATGAAAGCTTTCCAAAGTTGACAAGAAGAGAATATTTAGAGGATGATGGACTGCTATGCCCATTCAAATCTGGTAGTGGTGGGACAAAAATGGCATGGACTTGGTTATAGAAGAAATGGTAAAACTGACACGGGTGAACACCCAGGTGCCCATTCATTGATATGGAGATATTTACATACTACCTCCTCTAACATTTAAATCTTGAGGTACCTTTACAAGCGAATGACTTTTACACATAGACTGTAAGTCCAGCAAGAAATGGAACAACAAATACTTCCACCCATATAAGCTGAATATAAGACATGTATACTAAATATTCACTGAAGACTGTAAATCTTAGTATACTGAGTAAGAGTTAACAATAGTAAATTTTAGATGTAGAGCAGTATAAAATAAATCCCTACTTCATTAAGAGGCTTAAATACCAAATATATACATACATATTCTCCCCCTGCTAAAGAAGCTGAAATATCAGTGAATAACATGTATGAAGTTTTGGTTTCTAGGAATGCTCCCATCAACTACTATTCTGTTCTCGGTTTTCATATGCAAAAGGCCTTTCCTTTCAATATTAATCGAGCGTCAGCCATGATTATCTTATTAGGATAATGCTAAAAGCTGTAAAATTCTGTAAAATACATGATAGCTTCACAAAATGCAAGTTTATTTCTCACTACATAGAAGTTTGAAGGGAAAATTTCTACCTGAATTCTCTGTACTCCCTGCAAGTTTTCTCTAAGTATAAAATTATTCCAAAATAAAAGTTTACTAAATAAAGCAAAGTAAGTTTTCCTGGCCTGTGCTTGGCTTTTCTTGACGTGGTGATGCAGAGCCCCAAATTCTCCCATCTTGCACCTTCATCCTCCCATGAGGCCTTGTTTAATGTTTACTACCAGCCAATATACTAGGAAAGAGGACGTGGAGTGGAAGCCCTCCCTGGTTAATAGTCTTGGAAGGCAAATGGGTCTCATTGTTTCTGTTCACTTTCTATTGGTCTGAACTAGTCACATGGCCACTCTTAATTGCAAGGCAGGCTGAGAAACGCAGTCTGAATATCTGCCCAGGAAAGAGAGCTGAGTGACCATCAGGCTCTGCATTCCTCCTATATAACAGTTCACCCCTGTTTTCCAAACTTAGAAATACATCGGTATACCTCCTCAAAGGTGACAGCAAAAAGCCCCATCCATTTACAGCTTCAAGCTCCAATTCTAGAATCTCTGGTATGAAACAGTTTTCTCCTTCAGGCCCAGTTTTTCTCCAGGGGGTTAAGAATTTAGAACTTGAAAAATAAGCTCTCCACCCTGCTTTCCCCATCACATTCAAAAGACAATGGTGGAGCAAGAACTTGATACCTGGAAAAACAAACAAACAAAACCCCTCTCATTTGTAAAGAAAAGAATGATAAATGGCCAACAATCACTGGACCAAAGTGATAAGTAAGTCCTGCTGGGCAGGTCCTGGGAGACCCTTCCCTGGAGTAGAGACAGTGCCTGGCTCTTCTTTCTGGAAGAATTCCCCATGTCCATTGTTCTCCAGGGCTTCTGGCTCTGCTCTCTGGAGGCTCTTCCTTCTTCATTATCATTCATGGGCCTCATCCGAAGTGGGCATTGAAGAGAATGGCCTCCTTGAAGTTTGTGCTGCCTTCATAATCCAGTTTTTGTGGAGAAAATGTGGGATTCAGGGGTTCGATAGAATCACAGGGTTTTTAGGCCTGACTTCTGGTTTCTTTGGTAATACAGTTCCCTCAGAATCTTAGTAGGCGTTGATTTAATCCCTTCAGTCAGTTGCATGTGCCAGTAACCAGAGCCAAAGACATCCAAAATTCTATTCTAGACGTACTACTCAGGCCTGCTTTATTTACAGATTCCTCAAAGTCTTGTCTCTCCCGATCTCACTCCATCTCTGTCTCTCTGTGTCTGTCTCTCATTCTTTCTCTTCCTGCTGCTTTGTTCCTCCCCGCCCCACTCTCTCCTTCATTCAAAGTACTGGAAAATTCCTGCTTAGTGAAATAATACTACTAATGAGAGCTTCTATTTAAATTATCAAAATACAATTTTTAATTATAAATTCCTTTCTTTTCTTTTCTTTTCTTTTTTGTTTTATTGTAGAATCTGTCTATGATGCCTGTTCAGAAGAAAGAATAATAAGGTGTTTAAAAAAAATTTCTTCCAGAAGCCCTTATTGTATGACTATTATGTATTTAAATGTATTATAATAGTAGAAGACCTGAAAATTAATAGAACATTACCTCTGAAAAAGCTGAGCTCACATCACAGCATAAACACAAAGTATTTCAATATTAAATATTTTGTTCCAGTGATTGCTACAGCAATGCAGATCACCTTGAAACATAGAGGTGTAAAACAATGCTTTTTTTATGCTATGGAATCTGGTCAAAAATTCAGATAAGGTACAACAGACAGCTTGTCTCATCTACACAGTATTTTAAGTCTCAACTGGAAGTCTAGGGGTGGTTCAATGACTGGAAGAAGGAATTATCAGGACATCTTTATATTCACATGATTGATGGTTGATACTTACTGTCTGCTGGAACCTCAGCTAGTCTGTCAGCCAGAAAACTTACAAGGCCTCTTTTTGTGGTCTCTCTGTATGGGATGATTTGGGCTTCCTCCCATCATGATGACTATATTCTAAATGTGAGGATTCCAAGAAAATTAGAGGGGCTGCATGTTATTTTTATGCTTTAATATTTAGGTCATATAGTGCCACTTCTGCCATATGTTTTGGTTGAAGTAGGTATAAAGGTCTGCCCAAGTTCAAAATGAAAGAACATAGACCCCACCATTTGATAGGAGGGGTGTCAGGGTCACACAGTAAGAAGACCACATGGAATATGAAATATTGTTGCAGCCAGTCAGCTTTGAGTACACATTTTATTCAAATTAATTAATGTCCAAAACATTTACTTCCCATTTAAATCCACTTTATTCACTTTTTTGAATGAATCTTAATACAGTTATTTTTATGTACACTACTAAATTATTCTCTTTTAAATCATGTAAAGCTTAAATATATATATATATATATATACATTATTATATATATAATGGTATCAAATGTCAATATTTTTTCAGATATCTCGGCACAGAAGAAATCATTCACAGCATGTCTTGAAAGATGTCATTCCTCCATTGGAGCAATTGGTAAGTGATTGTTTCACTTCAACACTATATTATTTATCTACAGCTACAAAATAAATTACCCCAGAGCTCAACAACTTAGAACAACAACACACATTATTATTTCATGTTCCTGTGAATCAGAAATCTGGGCATAACCTAGCAGGGTCCTGTAGTTCAGAGACTTTCTAAAATTTGCAATCAAGGGTGAAGCCAAAATTGGGGTCACAACTGAAAGCTTGACTGGGGAAGGATCTGTTTCAAGCTCATGTACACAGTTGTTGGCAGTATTTAGGTCCTCCAGGGCTGCTCTCAGTTCCTTGCTACTTGGGTTTCTCCAGCATGGCAGCTTGCTTCTTTGCAGCACGTAAACTGAGAAAGCAAGAGCGTCTGCTAGCAAGTTGAAAGACAAAATCTCTTGCAACCTAATCATGGAAGTGATAGCCCATCAAATTTGGCACATTCTCTTGGTTGAAAGCAAGTCACTAAGTCCAGTCTACATTCAAGAAGGGTTACACCAGGGTGTGAATAACAGGAAGCAGGAATTTTTTTCCCCTTTCATGCTGTTTATTGCTGTATACTAATGACTATAAGAGGGCCTGAAATATTCTGAAAAACATGAAGGAATGTAGTATTACAGATGTCTTAAAAATACATAAACCTAACCTCTGTGAGAGATTTTGATACTTCTTTTTGTTAATGGCCTCCTTTTTGATAAATGTATTTTATGTTTTCTCCTTGCTTGTTCTTCTTGCTGCGCTTTGCGTTAGTCAACACACTTCCAGTCCCTGGAATATTTCTCTTCTTGGTTCAGTTCTATTTTCTCTTGTTTTATATGTTCTAGATTCCTTATCTTTACTTGAGCTATTACTCTGTCATTCTCCTTTACTTTAGAATAAAAATTCTTTTAAAAGATTGTCCACCTTTAATGTCCCTAATTTCTCCCCTCCTTTACATCTTGAACTAACCTCATTTAGGCCTTTATCCCAACCACTCATCTCTTAACAAGATCATCAATTACTTCCCTATTACTAAATCCATTGGTAAAAGTCTCAGTTCTCTTAGATCTATCTGAGAATTTAATCCAATTGATAACTCTTCTTTTTGAAACATTTTTTTCTCACATGACTACTAGGAAACCACTGTCTCACGGATCTCCAACTAATTAAGTGACTACTCATTTTCCATCTTCTTTGCTGGTTCCCATTCATCTTGGAGCTCAATTCTTTACTTCTTTTTCTATACATTTATTCCATAGGGCATCTCATTCAGTGTTATGGTTTTACATGGTGTGCTACACTAACCACTTTTAAATTTTAATCTCCAGCATGGACCATTGCCCTAAATCCCGGTAGTGTATATTGTGGTATTTTTGTTTATATGTCTAAGATATTTCTCAAACTTAATATTTCCTAAATTGATCCTGATTTTCTCCCAAACCCGCTTCTCCCAGCCTTCTCTATTTCAAAAGAAGCTAACTCCATTCTTTCAGATGTTTCAGTCAAAACTCTTAGCCATCTTTAGCTCCTTTCTTTCTTTCATAAGGTAAACAAAATCAAAGAACCCTGTTTGCTCTGTCTTTAAAATACATCCAGAATCAGTTCACTTTTCACCACCTTTATGCTATCATCTCTCCCAGTTTACTACAATGCCTTCCTAACTCACATGCCTGTTTTCACTCTTGCTTTCTGTTTCCAGAATGAGCTTGTTAAAATGTAAGTTAGGTTCTGCCACTCTTTGGATCAAATTCCTCTATCATTTCCAGTCTCTCCCAGGGTAAAAACTGAAAAGCATCTGGTGCCTTACCTGATTCTGCAGGTCCCAGCCACCTCTGTGCTTCACCTTTTCCTTTCTTCTCCTGGCTTATTCTACTCCAGCCAAAATGACCTCCTTGCTTCTCCCACAGGGCCATTTCACCTGCTCTTTCTTCTGCCTGGTACAAAATAGTTCATTTGGTGCCCAGAAATTTGTAAGGCTCATTCGTTCCTTTTCTTTGCGTCTCTGTGCAAATAACACCTTTTAAGGTAGGTCTTCTCTAATCTCCCCTAAACACAAATGAACACATTAAAAAACCCTACCATTTTTGTCCACACTCCTTTTCTCTTGCCCTAATTTAATTTTCTTCTTAGAACTTACCACCATGTAGTATACTACACAATTTCTTTTTGTTTGTCATCTCATTAGGATGTTCTGTGAGAGCAGGGATATTATCTCCTATGTTTATAACTCTATTCCCATGATTATAACAATTGCTAGAATATTATAAAATCTCAGGAAATATGTGTCAAATGAGTGTACAAATGAAGTAGTTAATGGCTTTTTTCTCTTCCAACCTCATAATACACAGATCTATACCTGTGAACTTTTTCTTCATTATCTCATCGTATATCTTGAAGTGCTACTTAGTCATTTGTTCTAGTATGTCTCAGTGTCATCCTAAAAATGAAATCTCGCAAATTGACCCATCATCGCCTTCCTCCCAAATTGATTCCTGTTTCCATTGAGCTTATTTCTATTAGTAGCAAACATGTATCTAGGCTTAGAACACATTTTCTTTGGATCCTTTATTGTCTCTATGACCCATCACATAAGGCAACATTTTCTGAGATAGTTTCTCCACAATGGATGTGGTGCCCTCGTTTTTCCTCTGTGCTTACAGGTGCATGTCCTTTCCCAGGCTTCCCAGTGCTTCTGGTTTTACCCTACTATATTCCACCATGCCTCACCCACTACCTCTCCCACTGATCCTGTGCAGTAATGCCTCCCCGCCTTCTTTAAACAGTATCTTCATTACTTCATTCTCCTTGTCAGAACGTCCAACAGCTTTCTATTTTCTATAGCATCCAGTCTATAGAATTCTCTCATGGTCCCTGATTTACTTTATTTATTATCTACTTCCAAATGTATACCCTGAAGCTAGCAATAGTAACATGATTAAGACATGGCTCTCACCCTGAAGGAGCTTGGATTTTCTGTAATGATTATAGTTCCTTCATCCCAGCACTCTTTTGTGTTGTTCACTCTTATTTCATGGGTAATAGGCTTGTTCCATGGCTAGACTATAAATGCTTTGAAGTTAGGGGTCGTGACTTGTATTTTCTTTATTATATCATATGTCCGTTTACATTGCTTCTGGCACTAGTGTTTGGTCAGCAAAGACATATTTGTCAATTGATTTAATAATAATATATTAATGATTTATTAACATAATATTGTTAATTGCAGATATGACTGCTATTTGTAGTGAAAGCCAATTTAAAAAATTTACTTAGGTAAGAATATATCTTTTTTTCAAAATTAAGTACTTATGTTTCAACTTAGAGAGCATTTTCCCTGGAAAATATTTCTCTGATTCCTCAGCTTTGAATCAGGTAGCCTTCCTTTATTCTGTCTTCTTATAGCAGCTTGGCCTTGCCTCTATCTCTAAATTTCCTCGGTCTCTAATTACACTAAAACTGCCTATTTCCTTTTACAGTTCTCTTGCTGAAGTATAAGGTATTTGAGTATCATTCACTGTTTTATTGTTAAAACTTTATATAAGTCCTGGCACAGTGTAGCTGTACGGTGAATAGGAAAGTAATTGTGTTTCTTTTCTATAAATTTGACTTACAGAACAAATAAAGTATATATAAATAATTATAAAGAGCTTTATTTTAAATATAGCACAGCAAATGTTTCTCTGAAGTGTTTGATGAAACATGGCAAAAGTTAGACTGAAAATGAAGCTATATGCCTGTGTATGAAATATAAATATACATGCAATTATATGTAATTTTATATGTGCAAATATATGTGCAATTATATTTGAAAAATGCCTTAAGGGGGTCTCAAAATTTTTACGTAAAATATATATTAATTATGAATTTTAAAAATTAAAATTATGGTTATTGGTTAAATTTAATCAGTGACTAATGATATGTGCTGTGCGTGCAGATCAAGCATAGGCTAGTATTAAAAAATTAGAATATTCAGAAGTGGTTTTATCAATTTACTGTCCTAACACTAAGGTTATTTGTTGATTTGCTGGCATGTAATTGTCTGTCTTGACTATGCAGCCTCAGTTCTTAATAAATGAAACTCATTTTAAATATCTTAAATTATTGATAGTTTAACTGAAAAAATACATTTATGGGCTCAGTATAATATAAAGTCAGATAACCTTGGAAAAGTAGCACTGGGAAGTACTGCTAGACAGAAGGCAAAAACAGTAATTTCTTGAGTTCTTTGGTTTGCAGTCTCTAAATCTCTTCTCTGCATCTCTTTCTCTTACTCTGTCTCTTTCTCTCTGTCTCTGTCTCTGTCTGTCTCTCTCTCTCTCTCTCACACACACACACACACACACACACTCTTTTTTATAGCTCTTTTGGAACTACCAATCAATTTACTTCCTATTCCTGAGTTGACTTTCCCTGGAGCCTTTCTTTGAGTACTTGTTTATCTTGCTCTGTCTTGTAAACAGAGGTTATTTTCAACTATTATCCACCAATCAATCTCTCCTTGATTAAATTGCTTATTTCGTGTTGTTTTAAGGAAAGAAATTTTTATCTTTCCCCCACAAGTCTCATTTATGAATTACTCCATTATGATAGACAATGAAACAATAATCACCAGCTCCCTCAAGCAACAAATTCTAACTTTTTAGCACCATACTGTTTACACCGAGACTTAAATTATTTTCTAGAACCAATAGTTGTCTTTATATTTGACTAATATAACTGTATATTATTTTTATCTATATTTACTTATTTCTTTCCAAACATCTGGCATGTTCCTTCCTTCCATTTCTACAATTCTTCTTCCTTCCCTCATGCCTGCCTCAGTGTTGCTTCTGGAGTCATCCATAGGGTCTCACAGTAGTTTCCCTTGGCAGTACCTACCAGGATGAATCACCATATATAAAGTAGTACCAGAAAACTTTAGAAAATAGTAAGATACTTTAAGATGATGTCATTACTCATTATTTTTATCTTTGAGTATCTATATCCCACATTTTGTGCTATATAAATCCCATTTCCTTTACCTCT